CCGAGCCCGTTCCCGTGTGAGCCCGGGGCGGCCGATGCGCTCCCGTCCTCCCGGAGCGCTCATCCCCGCTTTGCCCAGCCCCTGCCATTCCTTAGGAAGCGCCGAAAATTCCTTCGGCGTTCCTTGGTGAAGCCTCTAGATGAGGATTCCCGTGCCCTCCCCGAGCCCTGAGCACCACGTTCCCCTGTAACCCCGGTCCCCCCGGTCCCCCCGGTCCCCCCGGGCCAGGCGGGGCGGCTCCCGCACCTGCTGCCTCTCACCTGGGCCGGGGTGAGCCGCAGGATGCTCTGCCCATCCCTCCGTGCTGCCTGACAACTGAAACCTCCCCCCGGGGCCGATTGGGTTACTGTGCCTGGCTGGAATTTGCCAGAGAAACTCCGCGTCACCGATCCAAAGGCTCCCAAAGTGCTGGGATGGTTTTCCCAGCCCTGGGTCCCGCTGTGCCGCTGGCCGGAGCTCGGACAGCACAGGTAAGCGTTCCAGGGATGCTCCAGGGGCTTCGGCCAAAGAGGAGATGAATCGCCTTGGTGGGAGGCAGGAGAGCAGCTCGAGTTTCAGGAGGAGTCTCTTTTTTCCCTTGGGAAGCCCAGTGCACCCAACAGGACGCGAGAGGGAGAAACGCAGCCAAAATATTCCTGGGCCACAGCTGTCCTGGAGCGCAGCCCAGGCCACTTGGGTGGAGGATGGAGGGGAACAATTTTCCCCATCCTACTGAGAGAGCAGAATTTCTGCAGGTACAGAAATAACTTGGCTTGGCTGGCTGGATGTCACCTGGCAAGCCTGGCGGCACAGAAGGGGCTGGGGGTGCTTTATTTGTGGGGGGACAGGCAGGGTGTGTGTGCCACAATCCCTGGGCACAGCCAGGACAGGGCCAGCACCCCGGGACTGGCAGCAGCCCTGCCGAGGAGCTCGTCCCCTCTCGGTGCCCTTACAGGCTGTGCTCAAGGACAAGCAGCCAGCAAATAACTGCACAGAGGCTGAGACTCAGAGGGATGAAGCTCATTCAGTCCAAGCACTGTGAAAATCACTTAGAAAGTCTCATCTGGTCAAAGACTGACAGAAGGTCTTGATGGAAACCACCTCCATTCGCTTGGGAACCCAGAACACAGTTCTTTCAAGGATTAAAGTTCGCTGCCAGCCTTTAAAGTGCTCAAGTCAGTTAAAAATGGAGGGAAAAGGAGCAATTACCTCACTGGCTGAACAACAACAACAACAAAAATACAACAAAAATACAAAAAAAGGAATGAATTGCAGTTTTGCCTGAGTTTGTAGGAGTTGTGTGTGTCGGAGGAGAGATGCCCCAGAGCCCCGGGATTGCTGCTCAGAAGGAGATTTGTGCAGGAGACCCCACCAGAAAGGAGCTGGAGAGGACAGGAGGAGCAGGAAGAGGAGGAAGAAGTGGGTTTCAATCCCCTGAAGCTCTGCCATGAGCACAGAGGTCCCGAGCAGGAGGCAGCCCCTCCTCCACAGCCGTGTCCCGGGGAGGTTTTCCCACATCACTGCGGCTCCACAGAGAGATGCAGACCCCCCTGCCGCTGGTGCCGCAGCAGGACGAGTAATTCCCTAAAACCTCTTAGTGTGCTAAGCCCTGGGATCCCTCAGTGCTGAGGAAGCCGAGGAGAAAATCAGAAATAGCAGCTTAAGGGCCAGTCTGTGCCGGCACGGGGGGCTGCTCCCCGCTGCGGGGACCCCAGTGAGCCCAGCACGGAGCAGCCTGCCTGGGGACAGCTCTCCAAACCCTGGGCCCCCAAATCCCTGCGGGTGTAGGCTCCCAAAATCTCGGTGCCTCACTCACCTCTGCCTGCGGGGTCCGGCACGGCCAGGGCTGGCCCTGCTGCTCCGCACAGCGCTGGCACTTGGGATTTGCCCTGGGGCTGAAGGATTTCCCTGCACCGGCACTAATCTGGTTTCCCTCCTTCCAGCTCCTAATTCCCCCCAGATCTGCAGGCTCGGGTCAGCACCGGGCTCAAGGCAGGACGAGCACGGCAATTACTCTGCCCGCGCTCCTCTGTGTGATGGAAATAAAGTTAATTAGGAAACGAAAAGGCCAGAAAGGCCTTAGCGCGTGTCTGGAGCTGAGCTGGAGCAGCCGGGAGGGCGCAGGGCTCCGCTGAGAAGGCTGGGAAGGGGCAGCAGCCCCCTGCCCGCTCTGTCCCGGTGCCACGGCAGCTTCACCCAGCCCGGAGCGAGCCCGAGCCCGGGGCGGCAGCGAGGAAGAGGAAGATGCTCCAAGGAAGGCTGCGGGTGCATGGGAAGCGCTCCCGTGGGTGATGGAGCAGAGTCACGAAAGCTCGGAGGGACAAAGGTGCCGCCGGTGAGAGCCCCCGGCTCGCCTGGATGGCCGCGGACTTCTGTGAGTGCTGGAGCCGAGGGGCGGCGGGGTGGAGGGCGTGCGGCTCCCCCTGCCCCGCCGGGCTGCTCCCTGCAGCACAGCCTAACCCTAACCCTAACCCTAACCCTAACCCAGCCCTTCCTGGGATCCTGCTGAAGCTGTCACAGCTCGTGCCCAGCAGCCCCGGGGATGAGGTTTGGTGGCAGATGGGTTTCATCCCTCTGCTGCCAGGCTTCTCCCGAGCTGCACCCGCAGCTCTTCCCCTCCGAGTCTCAGTCTCTGTGGGGCAATTTGCCCGGGTAAAATTGTCCGAGTTTCACTTTTGTAAGTGCTTAATGTGTGTGCAGTGACAGATGGAATAAACACGGGGGTAAAAAGCATCTTCAGGGTCAGCTGAGCTCAAACGCAGAGGAAAACCACACGTGAATTATTTTAGTGAGTGCCAGCGGTCAGTGCAGGCACTTCCACACCACAGAACCACGGAGTGGGAGGGCTGGGAGGGAGCATGGCGAGCTCACCTGGACAGCAGAGCGTGGGAAGGGCATCCCAGGGCACTGTGCACATCAGCTGGCCGGGTTTACCTTGGGCAAAGTCGATTCCTGCAGATGTTCAGGGCTGCTGTGCCCGATGTCTCCTTGAGCATCCGTGGAGCCGCTCCAAAGCCTTCAGTGAACCGCAGACAAGTCCTGCTGAAAACCATCACCCTGCCCTTTGGGGATGCTGCCCTCAGGACAGGGCACACCGGACTGAGAGGGCACAGGGAAATGATCCTGGCAGAGCTGGGATTACTGTAATGAATTTACAGTGATTTTGTAGTTGCAAACAGCTGAAATATTGAGTGTTGGGAAGAGCTGGTTAAAATCGAGCTGGTTTAAGTCCTTGGACTCCATCTATTGATTAATGTAACATGTCAGATAAATGAACGGATCATTTTGATAGACAAATCAATGCAAGAGATGCCTAAAAGAGGCTCCAGGAGAGGGGTGGGTCTGTGGGTGCCACAGGTCACATTTGAATAGCCCCAGCCTTCCCAGCCAAACGTGGCCTCCTCAGTGGCACCGCCAGCAGCCAAAGACAGAGTGAAAACTGCTATTTTAAAGAAACCTAGAGGAAATACAGGCTCTTGGGGCTTTTCCTCCCGTGGCGAGGGGGACACAGCTCACGCTGTAACCCCTCACCCGACGGGCTCCACAGGAACGACCCCTAGGGATGGAGGAGCCACCACAACTCCTCTCTTTTCCTCCTTCTTTTCCAGTCGCAGCCATGCCGGCAACCAACCAGGGCTGGCCCGAGTCCTTCGGGTTCCGGATAAGCGGCTCGGGGCCGTGTTACATCGTGCGGGTGCAGGAGGGCAGCAGCGCGGCGCTGGCGGGGCTGCGCCCCGGGGACCAAGTGCTGGAGATCGAGGGCCAGCCCGTGTCCTCCCTGGGCTGCCAGGCGCTGCTGGGGCTGGCCCGGAGCTG